CCTCTATAATTCTTAAATATTAAACTAATGATACAGAAGATGATTTGGCTTTTCTACAAATGAAAATTCCCTACATCAATATATTTTAAAATTGGTACATATTATCTTAAAGAAAAGGCACATTCCCAAAATGGCATTAAAGCACAAAATAAAACTTTTGTCACAACCAAACTATATCCATGGACATAAAATTTAATAAAATTTCTTGTTCCTCTTTAGACATCTTTCATCATAACTGCCGAAATTTGTTTCTGAATACATTCACGAAATCTCACTGGTCTTCGCTTCTATCATATCTCTGATATTCAAAACATATATTATAAGAAACAACATTAGTTTTTAAAAGATTTCAATGGAATATCAGGGGCAATAACTCAAGAAATGAAGTGATAAAATGGTAGGCGTGCTGGTTATATTATGAATATAATGAAAATATAATTTAATGTGTCGTTAACCTACGACACAGAATTAGAATAGAATAAAATATATACAAATTTCACAATATAGATATAATCATTTCAATATTTAAATATATTTCAAACACACATTAAAAGCAGTCTTAATATTTACATGTAAATCCATCAAAGTAAATAAAATTTATTGACTCAATATTCTAATTGTTGGTGATTCCATATTTCTAAGACAGATTCCACTTAGCCAACATATTAGATTTTGTTGGTGTAAGTATCAGCACTGAATAATAAATAAAAATGAAATGTGGGTATCTGAATATAAGTTACCACACTGTGCCCTCAGATCAAAGGATTTGTATACATTCAAATGTTTGAATTTTAATGGCCATTTCAAGGTTTCAGAAATGCTCAAGATTAACTACATTCAAAGCTTGCATTTTGAGAAAATATGACTTATTCTCATTTTTGTTTTAAATTTCTTCCAATGTGGCACATGTGCGATAAATTTCGAACTTTTATAGCAATGTAATAACAAAATAGATTCATGTGAAAAACATCTTACAAGAGCAATGAAAATTATGCAATAAGAAAATTCACTAACATTCAATAAATTTAGATCAATAACAAACAATACATTAACCATATCCAGTTACTTATTTACAAAATAGGGGGACGGTACATTGGTGACTTATTGAGGCAGTCTATTATTATCTTATGAATGATATGATTTTTGATGGTGCTTTAATGATTCCTGACAATACCATCTAATCTCATACTCTTATTCAAGTAATCTTGCAATGATGGAGATTCTTTTAAATATAATATGAAGTTTTTTCCTCTTAATATATATGGTATTCAAATAAACTTATCAATGGTGCTTCGACTTTTACTCTATATTAAACTACAGTATGAATGATTTTAGATTTGAGAAACATTGAAAATTAATTCACCTTTCTTAACTTGCTAGATCCAACAATATTATAATGATAATACCCGAATTGCCGGAGATTCTTTACCAAGTTACATCACAAGCATTATTCTGATAAATTTCTAATTTACCAAGTTTAATTTATTCAAAGAATTTTGAAATTTGAACATGTGAATTTCTCAGTTAAAAAATATGTTTTGATACAAAACAACCAACCAAAAGCACCAACAAATGAAAATATTACAATGGAGGAATGTAAATAAAAATGGTCCAAAACAATGATGATAGATCCACAAACATCTTTTAACAAATAAATAAATAAATAAATAACAAATGATTCAATTTACAAACAGCTTCACATTGAATATAAATACACTCCTGTACCCTTCAGTTCTTACATTGATGTTTTAAAATATATTAAAGTATCATTTTAGAGTCAATTTTCTGATATCCAATTATCATTTTAGTATCTGTCTGGTATTTATAATCATATCATATATCATGCACAATTATTCTTTGAAACAGTGATCTTATTTCAAGCTATCATAATAATTAAAATAATTCGACTTTTTTTGAGCAAAAAACCTGCTTCCCTTAACTTTTAAATGATTTTTGTGCCATGGATATAAAATTAATTACCCTGGTAAAATTTCTTTCCATTTTGCCTAAATTCTTAACAAGCACAGATATGCTCAAAAATAAGTCACTGAAAATATTGGGTACAGGAAAGAAGGACAATATCCTTTTCACATTTAGTTTAAACATAAATTATCATGATTATATAAACAATATCATCAGTATCAATATCAAGTGAAAAAGTATTATAATTTATATTTTTAGTTCATATGTAAAAATAAATCTAGTCTCTATTATAATATTATGCATTGTAAATTTTCAATTTCCCGAATCACAATTCTATCTTGAAATTGAGATCTGTAATCAGCCTAGGATTTGAAAAAACTCCAAGATCTGAGAAAGTTATTTATAAGCTGAATGGAATTCATATTTCATATTTTGAAACTTGATCATCTAATAACTGAACAATCTTATCCCAAGATATTACTGAAGTTTGAAAAGTAAAACTTGGTAAGGTGTCTGCACTTTGTGACAAGTTTCTTTTAAGATTTATCATCTCAAAATTTCAACAAAATATTATAGAATGAAGCTGTATTTTAATGAAAACAGTTTAAATGGAATGGATTTGAAAGAAATATTGGTGACAATGTGTCTATATTCACCGAAGACATTACTGAGCAAATGAAGTGAATTATGAAGTTTTAATTATGAAGTTCTAATTATATACTGGCATGAAGCTATCATTACTGGTTGTATTACCGTTACTGTTTGTGCCATTAGTAGTGGTCGGGAATTCAAATGATGTATCTGATGAATTGGGACTTTTATTCTGAACTTTGTGTTGTAATTTACGTAGCAGTTCTGATGCTGGCGTGCTTAATGCAAACCCTGATGGAAAGAAATTGAGTTCAGGCTTAATATCAGGATTTGTGTTAATATAAGGTTGATACCATGGTAACCCCGTAGAGGAAGCATCTTTACCTGGACTAAAATTTAATGATGCTTTACTCGATTCAGATTTCTTGGGTGTCTTTGAAGGGCTCGGTCCTTCTTCTGTATTTGATGTTGTGGAATTAATTTTTGATTCTTTAGCTGGCTGCTGTTCCCTCAGTTTCTTCTGACGTAATAAATGCCTCTCTTTGACTTTGTACTCAAGAGTAGAATGAGGCACACCATAATAACTGCCAGCTCTGTGAACACTCATTTCTCCACGTTGAACAGCTTTCACAGCCTCCATCAGTAGAGCACTGTTGTACTTCCTGTATTGGCCTCGCTTTGGTCTGGTCTTCTTCAAGGCATTAGCATTAGGTGGAGTTACCTCCTCCTTCTTATCTTTTCTGCTTCGTTTAGCAGGACTGTGGTTATTGGAATATTTTGAGCTAGGTATGGTCATCTGAGAAGAAATTTTATTACTGAAATGTGATCGTAAAGGACTAGAGACATCAGCTTCAGAACTACTGTCTGAACCATCACGAAATCTCATTTTTTCTGTGATGGTCTTCATAATGATATCTTTTAACGTTTCTCCAATTCTTCCTTCTTCGTAAACTTTACCATATAGTTTACTCTTCTCTGATAAATGATTATTATTATTATTGTTATTATGTGTAGGACTGGCACCTTTGTAGGACGGAATTCGGATATCTTTTTCATCAGCGCTAACCAATGATGACAAATAGGCTGCAGTTAAGGGTGAGGTGAAAGGATTGCCCAGGGCAAAACTTGTTGCGTTATCGCCATCTTTATTCTTTTTCGAGGCACTTTTTTGGCACTCCATTTCAAATCGTTGTTCCACCAATTTATGAATCAAATCTGACAATAATGGTAGTTTGAGTTCGTTAACGTGTGCAGGTTTTGTGGCGACATCAAATGTACCATCAATATTATGTTTCTGACGAACAATTTCAATTCTTCTCTGCATTTCCTCAGGTGAAATATCTTCTTTTTGAAAAGGGAGAACAAAAGGTAATGGCGGTAAAAAGGCAAAACTTCCTGCCTGCATTAAATCTGTTAATTTCATATTTTTCTCCAGCTCTTCAATCGAACTAGAATCTTCAGCATTTTGATCATCAATTTCCATTTTAAATATCTTATTTCTGAGAGTGGATCTAGGGATACCGTACAGTGTAGAGGCTCGTCTTGTACCCAATTTACCACTACGAATATCTCCAACAGCAGAAACTAAATCATCATCTGAATAAGCTCTCTTACCATTGGTCAATAATTCTTTCTTTGATTTCCTGCAAAATAAATTTGTAATACATGTGTCGTTTTATGTTATGTAATATTTTGTTTCTGACAATTGATTTACATTCCTTCAAAATACCATTGTCAAAATCATTCGGTATTTTTCTTTCTATGAAATATCAAAATAATGAACAACCAAAAAAAATGACATAAAAATGTAAATCTTGACACCGCATCATTTGTCATTGGATGACATCTGTGTGATCTAGTTTATAATCTTTATCTTTAGACTTGACTTGTTTCCACTGGATTTACTTTATCATCAACTTGAAAAATTTGAAAGAAGATATACTATTTTTATTTGTATTCTTACCAAGCTTAGGGAGAATTTTGCTGTGAGTTCCTATACTAGAAATATAAGAATAACTAAATCAGCATGTCCTGAGGCAGAGTTTTTAAAACCAGCCAGCAAAGAAGCAGACTTTATCAATACAAACATAGTAACTTACCCTGGTGGAATAGGGAGTTGTGGAACCTTGAGTTGTATTTGTGATTTATTATTATTATTCGAGCTATCCTCTATATCCTCCTCAGTGCTCTCTTTCTTAGCATGCTGTGTATAATACTGGGTACAGAATGGCAGCAAGTCTTGTAGGTAACGAAGATCTAAAATAAAAGTAGCTCATTTAATGTTTTTTAAATCCATATATAAACCTGTCAATTTTAGATCCTTTTAGGTGGCATCTTTCAAAGGGGCAAAATAACGATCTTAAAATCAGAGCCTTATTCTTGAAAAATTAACTTAAAATGATTCTAGTGTTCCAGTCATCTGATTGGTCAATCACTAAAATTGATTGTAAATTTAGTTTTGTTATCTAATCAGATTACTGTTTTTCTTAATTAGTAAAATTTGGAGAATAAAGCCCCTGATTTACAAAATAGAACTAGTGTTCTGTCTGAGAACTGAAAAAAATTATATACAGTCAAATTACTCATTTGAATGGTTAAAGAAGAATGAAGTATAAAAAAAAGTTTTTTTGATTTTTTTTTTTTGCTTCTACTTACTAGCATTATCTGGATCAATTCTACCCTTTTTAGCATCATCTGTTAGTTTGGTTACTATATCCTACAAAAAAAAATATTTTTCATGAAATATTTCAATTTATAGATAATAACCATTATCAAACAATATAAACAATTTGCATTAATTGATAGTTGAGTGATAAATAGAATCTCTCACTCTTGTTTATGTCACATGCCATAAGCAATTGTTCAAGAATCCTCTATTTCTTTACTCTTTAGTTCTTCAAAGAAAAACATATATTGATCATTTGCTTTGCATCTGCCATAAAGGCTCTTGATTTTAACAATTGCTACAACAACCCTGTTTTCAAAGATTTTCAAGATACCAGTATTCGTGAAAACAATTGTGTCTTTATCAAGCTATACAAGGTTTAAGGCAAGAACTTAGAAAATAGTGCGTTGTTTTATAAAATGGTTGTTTAAAGAGAGGTAATTAAATCACTTACAACTATAGAAGCTAACTTTGATTCACAATAAATACAATCTTTTTCTGGAGCAAAATCTTCTGGTGTTTCTCTCTCCAAAGCTGCAACATAAAAGGTCCAAAATTTAGACGAGTAGAGAAAATGCTAAGAAAATAAATGTAATATATCAAACCGAATAAAAAAAAAACATCTTGAAATTCAAACAACATACAATACAAAGACCATGGAACAAACACACATGAGTTTCAGTAGCTTCTGGTAAATAACTGAAATGGTGGGCACAGTGCAAAAACAAAAATATTGTTGTATGTATGTAATGGTATTCTATGTTATTTTTAGGTGATAACCAACAGATAATGACTGTTTACTACTCACACTATTAACTGCCACATACAAATTAAGCTGTGGATATTAATTTTGATTTCAAAACAAAATGAGATATCTTTCATGCAAATGTTAAGATTTTTCTTAAAATTCCTTTTAAATCTTAAAAAATGGATTTATTTCAATTTTTTGGGGACCTGGATTGGACCCTTTAAACAATTGTATATATTGTGGAATGACCATGGATCTACAACTATTTTGGAAAATGACATAATTTGTACTATGAATTTGTCTCTGAAGAACATCTGTGCCCTCAAAAGCAGCTTCCTAATGTGTCTCATTTTCTTATGTAATTAGATATAAATTGCATTGAAACAGACAATAAGATGAAAATAGACCCTGAAGATAAAAACAACAACTTGACTAAAGGTTAACTTCAGAACAATAATAACTCGCTCTTTTCAATTACCAATTAATTAGCTGACATTTCATGACTACTTTCTTAATTAATATCATATAGTCTCAATGCCATGTTTAAAATAATCCAAAAATATTGATATCTAATCAATGACTGCTAAGCATTCTAGTCTCTGGGCGTGTTGTATATTTTTTTGCCAATCTTATTCAATATATACAAGACATTGATGAAAGACAGTAATCATGCAAAGGACCCATATAAAAAATGCTTCAATATAAGAATAATTATATACTTGTATAACATATAATATTCAAAAGTCACATATTCTCTCTATGATGCATAACTTTGCTATACATTGTATATATATAATTTCTCTTCAGCCTGTCCAAAACTATTACATAATTCCATTGTGTTTCCTTTTAGTAGGTAAACCCTGTGTTTGGGACTGATTTTCAGACTGACCAATTGACATAGTTTTTTTTTATAATACTTTTGTGAATATAATATAAATATGTTTGTTTCGATTTGTTAAAATTCACCACCAAAAAAACATATTTGGATAAAGTGAACCACAGTCCTTTTGATAAGGGGGCATAATTAAACCATGATAAGGTTGTTTGCTCACAAAGCCTAAAATGCGGAGAATGTTAGTTTCCAACTTGTCAAAATTATGAACATGGACAATAATAAAATACGATATACAAATGAATAATGGAATAAAAATGCTAACATTCAAAGACAAATCTAAATCAATGAGAATCATGATGCCAAGAGGCAAGCCATCAAGGTCATACAAAAGGAAGTAAAATGCTATAAGCAATGAGTTAAAATCTATTTTCAATTTGTCCTTCAGTCCAATGGTTAATATGGTAATTAAATTAGTTAACACACATCACAATACTAGGCTATTTACGACTTAGAGTTTTCAATATAGCATCTCTATGAATTGGGAGCTAAAAATTTGTAACAAAATCTGTAACAATTGTACCACTTTTTAAGGTATATCTCAAAATATCTTAATAGTAAAATCATATCATATCTTGCATGAATTAAAAACAATACTTTTACTCTCGTTTTCGTCCAACACTTTGGATGAGATTTTGATTAATGGAATTGTCTTGCTTGCACAGATTTTTATTGACTACTGGGCTAACACAAGACAAGCATGTACATGGCTCATTCTTATAAATGTAAGCTCTTCTAGTAACTGTCTTTTCAACATGTTCGAAACAATTACGCCTTTCTAACATGTTTCTCTGTCTAGCGAGAGAACCTTGCATCAGAGAATGAGATGTCAAGTGAATTCTAATCCTTTTGTCTTACCTTTTGTTTTATCATGAAACTTGTGAATATTATAAGAGTATGGGCAAGAAATAATTGAATAATCAAAGAAAATCTTACCATTATAACAGTTGTTAATTGTCTCTGAAACTTTATTTCCACCGAAATGACCTGCTATGGCTTCATATGCTGAAATAAAATTTATTTATTATAATTTGATAAATATCAAAAAAATTCAGCTGTTAATATTTGGTTCCAGTAATATTGTTATAAGCATTTTCACGCAACAAGTCACCTACAAACAAAACTTTAAGGAAAATGATAAAAATTGGAATCATATATCTAAATTAGATAGGAGACTAACGAGCATTTTTATTCGGCAACCCTGAAAATCGTTTCTAAGAAATAAAATAAAATAAAATTTTTCAACAGAAAGAAAATATTATCAGTAGAATCTAAAAAAGCTTAAAAAATAAAGACATCAATGTGTGACGAAAGAAAAAGAGATTTTAAAACTATAACTCCAATGAAAAAATCAATAAAAATACAAATATGAATAAAATTTACAGGTAGATTTGCAAAATCCCTTTTTATAAATTTCAAATAGTTGTCCTTAATCTAATATTTACCCAAATACTCCAAAATACTGACAATACACCATCAACTAACAGCTGCTGATAATGCACAATAAAAAATTAATTTTGCCCAAATTTTGAGACAAAGAAAAAACTGTCAGGTATGGCTAGCCGAAGCTTCAACATCTGTGTCACCTTTGTTTGTGCTCAATATATTGGGTTCATGACCTATGCTCATTATAATAACCTGATCAGTGGAAAAGGTCAGCCTGAAATCTTAAAAACAAGTCGAGTTGGTGTATTTTTGACAGTATATTCCTTTATATTCAATATAATAAACTGATAAAATAACATCACAGTTTTATATGTAAATTAAAATATAAAAATTTCCAGTTGAAATATTTCAATTAATAATGAATTTGGTGGTAAAATGGCGGTTATGAAAATTGGTCAATACGTCATAGAAGAAACACAATATGCCAATTGGTAAATTTCTAATTAAACCGATCGATGTTCGGATGAAATCCCAGGTAAAGGAAAATACCCAAATAACTTTTAGAGAAGTTATTTCAAGAAAACTAAAATAGAGATTCAAAGTAAATTGTGAATGATGAATGAAATTGTGATAAACACCAAAAATTCGCCATGAAGGTTGATCGCTGTCGAAGGTGCAGAATTATCGATCCGTCTGCTAGCAGAGGAAAGAATGCCCGAATGTTGACGAAAATTTTGACAATTTTTAAACCGAATTTTCTAGCCTTCTACGTAACCGATTTTCGTCAAATTTTCACTAAATGAAAGAAATAAACGTTAGAAATATTTACCTATTAAGACTGGAACCTTTTTTCCCCAGGAAATTAGTTCTTTTCGGAATGATCTTCTTTCCTGAGCACACCTCGGGTTCCCGCAATCAACCATATTTGACCGTGCTTTGCTGTAAACGTCACGACAAGATGTGCTCAATATTCATGACGTTTTCTGTACAGGTGTGATTGGAGTAGATTGACAGTTATTCCAATTAATAAACAGGTGGTAATTAATCCTTTATCCTATTATGATTACCTTTGTCTTGATTGAAATTCTTACAACTGGGGAATATCTGATTGTATTAGCATACTTCTTGTACAACAAAGTTGTACTTAGTGTCACAATTTTGTATCGAATATAAGCGAATACAGTTATCCATTCATTTATACCGTTCGGTTTATTTTGATAATTTGTGTCATAAATAAAGAATTTCTGTTTAAAGTAACTGATCATAGACTCATAAAAAGCACTAGCTTAGGTCAAATGCAATGATTAATAATTCAAAGTGCTGATTGTCACAATTATGTATGAATATGAGTGAAAATGACAGTTATTCATTTAAAGTCTATGAGACATTTTTGGTTTATTTTGGTAATTTGTGTCATAAATGATAAATTTAATCATGATTAAATTGAACTGAGAACATAACTGAGAAAGTAAGGGCCTAGGTCTAAAGCAATTACTAATTTTGATGTGCTGATAAGTATAGTAAATTTAAGTTAAAATAGAAAAGTAGAATGGCCTGTAAAATGAAACTTATCATGGTGTAGTACCATATTTGTCCTGTGCAGGCCCTAACCAGTCCAATGTGCCAAGAGAGGTGGCCGCATTTGCATCAGGGGCAAAAGCTGATAGCTTCAATTGAGAATTTGTTCGATTTCTGGAAAGGGGGAGGGGGGGGGGGGGGGGTGTTGTGGGCAAATAAAACTAATTTATACAAATTTGTTTGTGATATTTGGCTTTGCTATTCATTCGATTTTACATGTGAAATTCTGCGTTCATCAATCAATAAGCAAGAAAAATCTACATTCAATCCTTTGATGAAGGCTGATTCACATAAAACAATCTGTGAAATATGATTGATAAAAGTAAGAAGATAGCATAGAAATATATCTTTGAACACTTGATGTTATTTTCTAGGCATAATAATGAGTACTGGAGTATATAATTATCCTGATGGCAGCATCTATACTGGAGAATGGAATCCACAAAATAAAAGACATGGATATGGTCATATGAAATTTACAGATGGGTCACAGTATTGGGGTAACTTTGAAAATGGTTTATGTTCTGGGTGTGGAATAATGAAGTTTAAGGATGGATCAAGGTAAACAATTCTTCAATTCCAGAGTCATTGTTAGGGTGATATGAGAATATAATTCTCATATAAAAACAAGGACCATGTGCTTTAAAATAAAGAAATAAGTAATGCAAATATTCTAATGGTTCTGGTACATCATCATCATCTGAAAGGAATAGCCAGTAACAAAATTTGTAATTTACATAACAATCACATTCCTCACGAGGTCATTTAGTTCAAGGCACTCAGTTATTGCCCTTGACTATCTCAAAATAGTAAATTTAGGGGAACTGTTTGTTATTATGGTTTTACTAGTGCATTTTACAGTTAGATAATAAACATTGTATTTATCTTTTTTAAAATTTCCTTTCTGTCAATTTTTACAGCTATGCAGGAGAGCTGAAAGCAGGAAAATTTGATGGATTTGGAATCTTTACCAGGTGTGATAATATGAAATTTGAGGGGGAGTTTAAAGAAGGAAAAATTTGGGGCTTAGGTAAGATCTTGAGTATTTCATTATTACCCGTAGACAACACAAATCAATTTCATCTCTTTATTGAGTGAATATATCATTTCTATGGCACAGAATGTCTCAAGCAAACCAAAAATTAATTTTTATCACATATTTGATTTTCGTAATAATACATATTTGTAAGGAGATGCAAAAGAAGATAATTATACGTGCCTGAAAATTCTAGTCAGAAACATCAGTCAATGGAGGAAACAATTTCACATTGGCGACGCCTGCCTCACTGGGGGTACAAATAGGGGGCAGAGTGAGGCAGTGGGGAGACAAATGATCAGGTTGAATTCAAAATGTGGCAACTCTGTGAAAGCGTCATAGTCTCAAGACTCATAATTAGGGCAATTGAATTAATTTTGTATTCTGACATATATTTTAGAGCTAAAATTTGAGTAGAAATAAAGTGGGGGTATAATTCTGGGTGCCCCCCTGTACCCTGTGGCGTCAATTTCACATGATAAACTTTGTCAGTTCTCACTGGATTAGACTAAACCTATATAATCAATCAAAGTTGTTTTGTGATCAATCATACTTTAATCTCAGAAACAGGAATTTTTTTAGCTAAGCCAATCAGTAAAGAGTTCACAGGTCACTGTCGAAATTTGTAGTATTTATAAAGGATTTAAGCGATTTTCGTACATTTCTAGTACTTCTGAAGACTATTTACATATATTCAATACCAATATCAATCGCCCAAAAATGGCGAACTTGTCTCTTTAAATAGTGTAAAATATGTTACTTAAAGAAGGGACTTAAGATTTGAATTCTATATTTCAGGTTTAGTATCATTTTCTAACAATACCCATGGTCTACCCAGAAATGAAGGATATTTTGAAGAGAACAAGATTATAAGAAGGGAGAAATGTTCGGGAATTATAGAAAAGTCAAGGATGGCAGCATCTAAAGCTAGATCTATTGCAGGATAAAATCAAAATATTGTTCCTTAGACTTTTATCAAAAGTAAATCTTTATCTATGATGGGATGGTATTATATCAGGGCCCTTATTCTTAAGTAATAATAGTAAATCAATAAGTTATATAATCATATTAATTTAAAAAAAAACTAAATCTTTAAGTCAATTTAGCATGTTTGTGTAGCTAATGTGGAGAGAAGGATGGACGAACACATTTCATGAGGGCATAAAAAATAGAAGGCAATATAGTCTTCTTGATTTTAAATGATTTTATTCGCCATTAACCTCATTGGTCTGTTATTCTGAAGCAAAAAAGTCCTAAAATCAGAAGTTTACCATGTTTAAGGTTTTGTATAAGCAATGAACTGTTGACTGGTCACATTTAAGATCAAGATTAACCATGTTACTTCCAGTGATATAGTTTTGCTCATTTTTTTTTATGCATATTCTGTTTTATGTATTATATTTTAGCAAATGTCTTTCATATGAAATATTTTTCCCTTTTCTCTAATTATATAATAAGGTAAAGGAATCAAAAAAGCACATTTCTATATTTTTTTTTGAAGAATTACTTTAGAAATGTTAAAATCTGACCATAAAAAATTAATCTGATCCAATCAGGTTCTTTGTGTGAATCAAATGAAATATTTAATTTTATAGGCAATGAGAGTCAAAGGTTATTAGTTATAAGGGATACTGAATTGGGGCTTTGACAATGTTGTAATTCTTTCAAAATATTGTAATTCCATCCAAGATATTGTAATAAATTAGTAATATTGTTATTCTTTCACAATATTGTCATTGTTGAATTTAATTCATGAAATTGTAATTCATTCATGATATTGTAATTTGTATCATTGTTATTCATTCATAATATTGAATTTCATTCATAATATTCTAATTCATTTATGATATTGAAATTTCATTCATAATATTCTATGATATTGTAATTCTTTCATAATATTGTCATTGTTAAATTGTAATTCTTTTCTTTTACATATTGAGGTATGAGACAAAATTTTATCATTCTATTCAAAATATGGTAATTCATAGTATTGCCATTGTAATTCCATTCAGAATATTGTAATTCGATTTGTTATATTCATTTATAATATTGTAATTCATTGGAAATATTGTAACTCACTCATAATATTGTAATTCATTGGAAATATTGTAACTCACTCATAATATTGTAATTCCATTTGTAATATTCATTTATAATATTGTAATTCCACTTGTAATTCATTCATAATATTGCAATTCCATTTGTAATTCATTCATATTATTGTTATTCATTCATTTTGTTATTCCATTCATGACATTGTCAATCATAAGCTTATTGTGATATTGAAATTAATACCAATATTACCATTCACAAGCATAGTTCTGCTAATTCCATTCATATTATCTTTATATTTTATTGATACAACTCATACTAAATTGTTGACATATATTGAATTTGCTCTATTTTTGTAAGATTTTTGTTCCTCAGCATAATATTGTACTTCCATTGTTTACTTGTTTACTACAGTACTAATAAAAGTATTTTAAAAAAAAAATTAATTACAGACTTTATAGATGGGATAAGAATCAGAAGCAATTAGCTTCTGTATTTTATTAATGGGGTGAGATTCAGAAACACTTAGATTCTGTATTTTATTAATGGGGTGAGATTCAGTAACACTTAGCCTCTGTATTTTATTAATGGGGTGAGATTCAGTAACACTTAGCTTCTGTATTTTATTAATGAGGTGAGATTCAGTAACACTTAGCCTCTGTATTTTATTAATGGGGTGAGATTCAGAAACACTCAGCTTCTGTATTTTATTAATGGGGTGAGATTCAGTAACACTTAGCCTCTGTATTTTATTAATGGGGTGAGATTCAGTAACACTTAGCTTCTGTATTTTATTAATGGGGTGAGATTCAGTAACACTTAGCCTCTGTATTTTATTAATGGGGTGAGATTCAGTAACACTTAGCCTCTGTATTTTATTAATGGGGTGAGATTCAGAAACACGTAGCTTCTGTATTTTATTAATGGGGTGAGATTCAGCAACACTTAGCCTATGTATTTTATTAATGGGGTGAGATTCAGTTACTTAGCTTCTGTATTTTATTAATGGGGTGAGATTCAGTAACACTTAGCCTATGTATTTTATTAATGGGGTGAGATGCAGAAACACTTAGCTTCTGTATTTTATTAATGGGGTAGAATCAGAAGCACTTAGCCTCTGTATTTTATTAATGGGGTGAGATTCAGTAACACTTAGCTTCTGTATTTTATTAATGGGGTAGAATCAGAAGCACTTAGCCTCTGTATTTCATTAATGGGGTGAGATTCAGTAACACTTAGCCTATGTATTTTATTAATGGGGTGAGTTTCAGAAACACTTAGCCTCTGTATTTTATTAATGGGGTGAGATTCAGAAACACTTTAATGGGGTGAGATTCAGAAACACTTAGCCTCTGTATTTTATATTCAGAAGAACTTAATCTCTATATTATTTATAGGGCTCAAGTAAAATATTCCTGAAAGTAAAAGCATCGATAACACCTCCATGGAAAAAGCTAATATTCATGTTCGGTGGGAAATGTTCCCAAAAGCCCTTCATTAATGAGGGTGTGTTAAAAATGTCTTAGTTGATTTAAAATATTTATTCTAAGAATAATTTTCAGCTGTTTAAAAGGCATTATAAAATATGTATATAATACAGTATAAAAATAGAAGGCTTGTGATAAAAAGTTAAACCTTAAAGGATAAAGTCATCTAATTCTGAATCTTTTTTTACCTATTGCACACTTCCTCTGGTTAAAGGCGATAACTCCTCAAAACTGACGTAAGCCTTAAATTTAATCAGAGGTTAACTAAACTTTCTCAAACCTTTTGATTTAGGTCCATAGAGTAATAGCATATTCAAGATTTTGGGGCAAGGGCAATAACTCTGCTTCTAACGGACGAAAAAATAGCTCAAATTCGAACTTGATCTTTGTTTTATGAATATGTATACACATACCGAATTTCAATTGATTCTATCAAAAATCTAGTTTTTAGAGCGTTTACAAGCAAATGGGGGTGCCAACAATACACGTCCACATAGAGAGATGTGGGCGTATAAAAATGATAAAAAAAAATATAACTTGACGACTATATCCCTTTTAGATTTCCCAGTTCAGTCAACAAAACATATCCTAGTGTTTTGTTGTTTTGTTTTGAACGAGTCTTATCATAACAATAGATTACTGCAGGGAAGACAAAACAGTTTTATTAAAATGGACAGACTAATTAAAGAAAGACCGAACTTTCGTTTGTATTTTTTGTATTACCTTTTTTTTAAATATAGATGTATAGAATGTTAAATTGGACAACTGAACACAGGGTCGATATCAAATACCGGTAATCTTTCATTTAAGACAATAACAAAACAACAAAATTAATATATATCATATTTCACATCACATATATATATCTCTGTCAGTATATTCATTAACATTGAATTTTTTATAAAAAACTACAAATGTATAATTATAAATGCAGAACTAACAAAATAACACATGGCAGTCAAAAAGAAATTTGATTATAATGCAGATCTTGATGTTCTGTTTCACGTTTTATCTACATGCCTCCATATTCTAAAAAAAAAAATTTTTTTACCTAGCATTCAGTCTTTGTTCAAATACAGTAAATGTTGTCATTACTTATGCCAATAAATTAAAAACCTTGTTAAGGTTGGCTGAAAATTAATGTTTATCATATGAAATAAGAATTTTTTATTTTACAAAACATTTGATATATTGTGATGATCTAGAACTTGTCTTGCATATCAATTTCATTCAGATCATCGATGCCACCTACAGAATAACATGAAACAAAGCATCTAGATCTGCACATAGATCAGATTGATCAAAGGGCTTTAAATTATTGTATAATAATATGATTTAAAATCTAGATAAAAATTGCTAGCATTCACTAAATGAATAACATAAATATATCAAAAAGCTAGAAAGGGACTAAGTAATTTTCATCGGTCAACAATATTCAGGCACAATCCAGAGCATCTCAAATTTAAAATATACATGTACTTTAATTCAATTTCAAATAAGCATTAAGTTTTACTTCAACAATTTAGCCCCAGGATTTTTTTTTTTAATTCGACTTTTATGTGTCAAATCCTAGTATGTTTACACTTTGCATGTATGCTTCAAGCCAGAAAAGAGCATGGCAATACTTCATATAATGTAACACCCCTCACTTATTGACAATTATATTGCAAAGCCTTTTATCCATGATTATCCCATATCGCTGAAGTGTTCTTGGGCAAATTCAAGAGGTTTATGTGGCCTCTTTCAAGTTATATCGAACCCTGCAGATTCTTGTTAAAGTGCATGAATATTGTTGACTAACTAGAGACTTACTATTTTGATTATCTTCATTAAATAAAGCCATTCACGAAAAAAATTCATAAATTTTCAGCACTAGTGTCAACTTAACAAAGAATAAAAATGTAGATAAAACAAATTTCATGATCAATTTTATACAGTATCTACTCAAATGATTGAAACACGAAAATTTATGAGTAAAATTTGGAATGTAGTATGTGGTTGAATTATTACCCAGCATACTCTCTGAAAACAGGCAGTCTCTCAAGTTGTGCTTTAAACATTTTTCAATTTATTATACTTTTAGGAAGTTAAAAAAAACAATTGTTATAGATTCTTAACCTTTTAGAATTCTCATTATTATTATCATCAGTATTATTCTTTATATCATTATCTGTATTTATGTTATTACTATTGTTAATTCTAGACATATCTATTCTCCATGGAAGGATTATATTAAGGAAGTGTTGCTAGATTACTGGTAGACTACTCCTGTCTACCTAAATTAGATTTTGTAGACTTTGACTTCGCGATTTGAAGAGACACATGCCAATTTTCTCCTAATGATTTAAACAATTAAAGTTATGGTAAAATTAAGGTGCTCATGGATGTTAATGTTGGGGTAATGGGAGAAGAATGGGGAGAACTCTTCTCGTTTGATTTGGTTAATGGACATGAGGAAGATATAGGAATGTTTGATTTATCACAAGTAATATTTTGAAATAAACTGTCTATTATATTAAAAACAGCTTGACTAATCTGCTCTGGTGATACAGACTTCTTACCCAGAAGATTCCAATCTGACTGACTTACACCTTGTGGAACCTGAAAGTCAAGGTTTGAATAACTTAAACATGCAATAAGTGAATCATGAAATTGAATACTAGTTATTCCAAACTGAACAATAAAAAAAAATAAACAATTCCAAACATAAGAACTTTCAACTTCTCATAAATAATCCACTTGACTCTGAAGTCATTGTTATAATATCAATCAAGATAATGCCCAGTTTGAGTTCAGAAATTCACAGTTATAATTTATTTAATTCTTTTATGGGCCTGGTTCTTACTCATTAGAGAAAATTTTAACAAAGCAAAACAGATCTTCTTAAAAACTCACTTTACAATGTGATCTTATCATTTTTTTCTTCCCAGTTTGTTTGTTCACTTTTGCTTTTGATGCTAAAGGATAGTGAAACTTACAGGCCTGATATGAATAGAGTTCAATATTTTCATCGAATCTTGGAGTTAGTGCCCTTTAATCAAGCACCCTTACGAAATTTTAATACATCATTAAGATAAAAGTAACATTGATGTAATAAGTACATAAGGGCAACCCAACAATGAACTTTCAGAAAGCTGGTAACAAACTATTAAATTCTGAAAAAGAAAATAAAAACTTACATGAAATATTTTGTCTGGGACTCCAAACTTTCCACCAGCAGCACCTCCTGTACAATATATAGGAATAACAATATGATCATTCCATACAAATTCTTCTGCTTCATGGGCTGCTCCTGGTCCTCCTGTAAAATTGTTTAACAGAGATAACAGATATGTTAGGAAGAAGAGGATGTACACACAAAGGGGGAAGAAGGGAACAAAGTCTCCCAAAGTTGAATGTTTTTGTATGTTGTTAAATACCCTCTTGCTACAATTTGCAAGCCCTGATGAGCCAAAATGGCACATGCTGCCGGTTGAGAAATCCTGGTTTATACCTTTGATTTACTAAATGCTTACCTTCAATCAAGATACAGATATCAAAACATTTGGCCACAATAGTTTCTCTTTCTCGAACACTTTCACCACAAAATAAACTTTCACCAAATGGTACCTTTTCAAACTTGTCATCAATACCCTGTTTAGCTTGTTCACTTCTGTCCTAATAAAGTAACATGATTTTATCAATCAGTTTGAATAAAGTGAGAAGTCCTGATACAGAAATATTCATATGATACATGTAGATACTTTTATTTTTTCTGTTTTATTACAAACATAAATTTTAATAATTTTGTGTAGGTCAATTATTTGTTCTCTGTCAATGGCAGCTTAAATAAGTCACTTTTAAAATGTCCATAAATCACTCAACTTCAAAGCTAGTCATAAAAAATATATATTGCTCAAAGTATGAACTTAAGACAACAAAAACATTGAATGCATATTGCTTTTCAGATATTTTGACCCAATTTCAAAGCTAAATGCTATTACACTGTGGACTGTAATAATTTAAATAATAAACACCCACCTGTTTGTCTCTCTCTGGTAATACATGACATACTCTATTCTTCCTGCGAAGTGTTTGATTTTGCTCAAAGAAAGCCTTACTCAGTTTTTCACCTACACCATAGAATCCACCAGTAACCAGTGTTATATCTTCTCTTTTAGCTAGTCTAGTTCCTATAGCTCTAAAACATATATAAACAAATGTTTTAAAACAATTCAAAATTCTAAAAAACCTAACAAATAATCCAAGAATAAAACCAACGACCATCATTTATTTGATGTAACTAAGCAAACGTCTTGTAAAGATTAAGCATCATTTAACAAGTATCTAATGTTCTTTTGTATCCCACATAAATCCATTCCATTACTGTTTTTATCAAACATGTTCCTTCTGATACATGTACTTTAAGCTTATTTTTCTCCTATATGCAACTAACAAATACTGCTTCTTGATACCAAGTGTAAGATTAAAGTTCAAACTTTCCAAACTAAGAACATGAAGTCTTCATTACCTACAGATACTCTCTGTTGTATCATTATAAAATTTAGTACTACCAGAAATATACACACAGTATGGGTTATTGATAGACTTCTTGATATGATTTACCTGTAAATAAATAAATATATATATCAATTCCTTTTAATCAATCTAATTAATCATCTTAGCTTTACAGAGTTGTTAACTTTGAATCATTTGCCAGAAATTTGAAGAATTTGTTAAGATTTAGGTAAAATTGCTCATTGATATATTGCTCAGATTGAATGTATTGTTTAAAAGAAATCTGAAGTGAGAACCACATCTCCCTTCTGATCAGTTTTCTTCACGGGCTATTATCACACTAAACTGACACTAAATGCATCAAGGTTAAACCTAGCTCATTTGGAAGGAAGATGGAAGATTGTCTGCCAGGCATTCAAGTGCAGTAAGTTTGATTCCTCCTCAGGTCAGAAAAATTCTGATGCCAGGGCCAGTGGTTCTGAGAATCAGCCCAATGATAGCTTTCAACTTTTAACACATTTACAGAATGTTTATAGTATTAAAACCTAGTTTGTCTTTAAGTATTTAGAGTAATGAGAACACCTACCATAGTGTTTATTTTGGCATCATTTATCTCTAACTGTAAGTTATCCTTGTTACCTGATTGTAAACATCGATTGATCTGAGACAATAACAACTCTTTATAACCTTCCTGATGTATATTCTGAATAATGATAACAATAATAGCCATTGTTTTATCTGTCTTAGTATCTTTGTGTTGTAATTAAACACAAAACATGAATATAGAAGCAACTGTCCTCTTTGAGATTAAAACAGTTCTTGTGAAAATAATATATTCTACAACTATCTAAAATTTCTAGGCCAAATCTTTTGACATTAATATATCTAAGTCTAAGCCCTTGATCCAATTATTAATTCAACAACTATTTGAAGATAAATTTGGCAGTGATTTGAGATGAAATTTTGCAATGCTTAGAAATATTTTAGAAAGTAATGGTGATGGATTTATCATTCTGAAATATATAACAATAAAATGTTGATACTTACATGGAAGGGAGTTGAACCAATTAACATACTTAACCATCCTGGTATACGAACATCTTCATATTGTAATGGTATTACTGGTTTTCTTTGTTCACAGTAATATACCTACAACAATATCTATTGTGATTATTACTGGACTACATCTGAATATTGTAAATATCTCCATTATGCAGCTGAAGCTCACAAGAGCTATTTAAACTCTTAAAGGAATACTTCGTCTTAGAATGAACAAAAACTTGGCCAATAAGTGTAATAATAGAATCCGATAAAACTTAGTAATTATTGAAAAAAACTGAAATAGGCTTTTCAATTACTACTTAAAGTTTTATGGATAATTACTTGATTAATTGAAATAACATCAAACAAATCAAATAAAGACTTGTTCCAAAAAGAATCAGAAATAAACGAGACGTCAACCCACCTGCTGTTGACATGTTCTAGAAGTAGTAAAATCTTTAGAGAGAATAATTAATACAATATCAGCTTGGTCTGCTTTCTCTTGGAAATATTTTATGTAATCATTATCTACTGGTAATACACCATTTTCACCATCTGTAACATCATTACTACATTCTGTAAGTGGGAAATGATCTATGTTAAGGCAGTAGATTTGACGATCTGACAGGAGCTACAAAGTGCAACCTTAATCCTTTAGCAACTTCTTTTAAGTTGTTTATATTTGCTTCTATATGTAATTGAAATGGTGACTAAGATGAAAAATGTTCTAAAATGTTCACCCGTCCATTTGGTTACATCATGTCAGTGACAGTTGGTTGGAGTTCCATATACATTAGTGCCGGCAGGATATATCAGTGAATTGATGTATCGCAATTCGACATGCCACGCATATCGTATCGCAATGTCGTGTATCGATACTTCATTCCATAAAAAAAATGGAGATAATTATAAGTTGGTTTATTATATAATATTTTTTTTCACTGAAATTGTTAGAAACTTAGGTAATGGCACTAACCACTATATTACCAAATATCACAGTTATTAATGTTATGAATTATGAAAGAAACTTTGAAGATAAAATTGACGATACCCAGCACTAATATTCATATATATCATTTACTTCAAACCAATCAGAATTTACTATGAAAAAAATCTGTCTTAGATTTCATCCAATTCATAATATTTAGCAATATATTTGCTAGATCCTAATCAAAGAATGATACAATAATGACAATTGAGATTTATTTTCAAACTAAATATCATACCTATTAAACTATCTTGACTTGGTGGGAGAGTATCAGAGTCAACAATATCAGAATCTTTTTCATTAGAACACCATACTTCAAATCCATGATCCATCAACCAATCTTTTATATGAATGCTCTACAAATATACAAAGCAAATAGAGTTCTTAAAAATGAATAAAATACGAAGATCATCTTCATTTCCTCATTTCTCATGCTCAGCTTCGTTTTTACACAAATTCATTATGCCTCTCCTACAGCTGCTTCAAATTGGAGTAAAGCCTCAGCTAATAATGAAATAAAATTTGTTGCCAAAGGACCATATACTACAAAAAACTTTAAAGAGGGGTGACTTAAATTAAAAAATAGAAGAAAAGTGATGGGATAAGGAACGGGTGTGCAATATACATGCTGTGTATTATATTCGGAAATATACAGTAATCCCATTTCTGTCTTAAAACCTAAAAACTTTAAACTTACAAGGTCTGAAATTTTTAATTTCTACAGCGTTATAAAACTGAAAAACTTACAAACGTTTTTTGAGCAGGATGAACACAGATAACTATATTAGGTGCTTCATTGTTTTCACTGTCATAAGAAACTTGAGCTAAAACTTCAGTTGGTAGTTTACCAGCAAATGTCTTCATTAAAGTCTTCTGTTGAAAAAAAAATCTGATTGATGTTGGTTCTAAATCATTTATCATATACAAAACTTGTTAACTTTAAATAAGTGCATTGTTACAATCCATTGCTTGGATATTCTAATCATGAAAATAAATTCTGGTGTATTTTAACCATTTTGGATGCTTATGTTTGAGTGACCATCTAAGTTATTCGTTTGTAAATTTTTAAAAATCTATCCAAGATTTCTTTACCAACTGTTCAAGTTGTAACAAGCATAAGTTGAATAGAAACCCAGTCAAGAAATGTTGTAATCTTGAACATGGATCACTATTGCAATAATAGATAGAAATAAAGAATAGAATTTAATTAAAAGACCTACCCTTCTAGTTAAAGATGGTAGTCTCTCTAGTTCCATACCCACTAATTGTTCTAGTCTATTAGCTATAGACTTAGCAACATGAGCTATATATTCATCATTCCAGGTACCTATATCATTAGCTCTTTCTTCTCCATATGTAATTTTATCTGAAACACATAGAAAACACAGCTGAGTTTTGTCTTATATCGAAATAAAAAAAAAAAACTCATGATTTGCTTTCATGGACAAATTTCATCTAAGCAAAGTTAATTAGGGATATACATAGAAAAGAAACCAATATCTACATTAATCTGAACATATATCATTCTTTGTATAACTGAGGTTTGTCTAAAATTCAAATTCACAAGTTTTTGATATGCTCTTAGAAACAAATTTCATCTCAGCATAATAACAAATATCATATAACAAACAGGGATATTGGTTATCCTTATAAAATATTCAAAACATATCAGCACTCAAATTGAAAAAAATCTGGCTTAAGATAGATGAGAAGTGCCCCACTTCTACATACGAAATGGTTCTTGCATGGAAATAACACACATCAACATAAATTACAGCCATTTTGAATCTCTTCTTCAACCTAATGAGTCAAATCTATGATATTTCAACTAAGACTTCAAATCACATTGTTTCAATTTGTGGAAGCTTACCATGTTTGAGCTGTTCCAATGTTTTCCATGCTATATATTGAGTTGTAGCAAACTGTATAGCTAAACATCTAGGTGGCCATGTATCCAGAAAATTAATAGGGAGAATATATTTCCCTAAAACATCAGCCAATTTAACCTACAACAGATTTCAAACAAGAAATTTTAAATAAGACAATTAAAGTGAATTTGCATGTTCAAACATAATACAAGATATTGATAATTTTCTTACAATGAATGCATGGAATTTTCTTTTAAGAGAATGTATTTCTGATTATCAGTATTATACAAAAAAAAACACCTTATTAAAATAAAAATATTCAATATGAATTGTGAACATAAATTATCAAATCTATCAGACATGCTCACTAACTGTTCTTTAATCCTGACCCTTTACTATTAGTTGCAAGATAAGATAATATAATAACAATGTCTACCTCTCTATTGGTCCACTGTGTTTCACCATATCGTGGTGTTATTAATGGTAAAAATATCTGACAATTACTAACAGCATAGTTTAATGAATCCTGCCAATCAACACCTGATTTTATTTCATGGACATCCTGAAATGATCAGACACACGTTAGAAACAAATTCTTCCAATCGAAAAACTTTTTAGTTTGCAGAATGGATGAGATTTGAAATTCACATACATCTGCCCTGTATTCAATCACATAATGTGTACAAGTGTTCTGTCAGTTGTCACAGCTTGTATCACATTGTATCATACCAATAGGTCATTGAAAAGAAAACAGACAACTGAACGTTGGGTAGATTCAAGTAGTAATAAGTAAGTTTATTTGTATAAGTAGGTTGAACCATGACATATTCCTTTAATCATTCTATACCATCCATTACATTTTCGAAAATTTTGAGTCAGCAGATTTGCTCATGTGTATTCTTGAAATACACAAAATTACTTACTAAATAAACACTGAATCCAAGGGAAGACAACTGTTGTTTTAAATCTAGAGCATGTTGAGCAGCCTCTGCTCTGACATAACTAATCAGTAACTGTTTAGAGGGTATAGAGACACTCTCTACACTAGAACATGATGACTTGTATGTATTATCTTTACTTGTACAAAATGTCAGCTCTTTCATTCTAGACAAAGATTAAAAGTCGATTGAAATTTAATTAAAAAAATATTTTTTAGATTGAATTGATCAGTAGTTGTTTAAAGAAGAAAGAAAGAGTTATAAATGCACTTTGTGTTAGATTTGGATTTGCAGCGTGAAACCAAGAAAAATTTGCAAAAAAAACCCCAAAAACAGCACAGTATCTTTCAAGTATTCCTTAGCATGCTTTGTGACTTATCAGATAAAATGAAAAAAAGAAGAAACTCAACCAAACAGCCCTGTATATTATATAAACTGCTTAAAAATTTCTTCAAACTTACCTTTTGATTTTTTTTCTAGGAGGTGTATCAGATAATAAAGAGTTATCATTATAATCAGCGGTAGACAGGTGGTTTTCTAGGTATATAATATCAGGTGACAAAGTAATACAGGACTCATTCACTACCTCTGATACAATCATTCTTTCTTCCTGATTCTTTCTCACTGGCCATCCATTATTATCAATAAATATAAATCTATCTGATAACTCAATCTACAATAAACAACAAGGCATTTATACAGTCAAATTGAACCAAACTTTCGTTCTGTTTTTTATCAACTTTATTTTTAATTTAGTCACTTCAGTTAAGGTCTAAAGACGGGCCTCCTGAACCAATCAGTCAATCAAATTTCTAACTGTCTTATGCTTCTCGGAATCTTAATTAGATTGAGTATTTAATTCAATTTAAACAGAGATGCTTCAAATGCAGAGTATTAAATTTCAATAAATATTATCAGGGCAGGCTCTAATTCTCTTCAAATGGACTGGCAAATTTCTCAGAGTTTGACCTGACCTGCATTTGTTAAAAGAAAGAGCTGATATGAAAAGTTCAAACCTACAATCAAATTAGTGATCTAACAACCTACATTCACATTACCGAGTGACTGAATTGAATATGATCCCAAAATAAAGATATTTTACCTCATTGAAAATCAAAGTGCGTAGTTGAGATAGTCTGCTGTTGTAATTTATAAAGATAGATCCTAATGCCAGCCCTGAATTCAACTTCACTCCTATCTTTGGCTTATCTGAAATAGTACAGATATATATGGTTGAATTACACATGAGATTTCTCTGTATACAGGTAGGACTGGGTGATATTCAGTCGGATGGATATCACAATATTAACCCTTTGAACCCTAAGTGTAAATGAAATATAACATCATATACCCTGTAAGTAATATAAGTAAAAGCGTATGACGTTAACGCTATATGATGTCACTTACTAACGGCTGGTATACACAATATGGGTATGCAAATCGTTCTTTTAATCAGGCGATATTACCAACCAAATTCTTACACCAGTATTTATCGTGGTATATCATCCAGCCTTATATACAGGATAAGTACACAGGTGTTTATTCTGCTATTTATCTACTAGACAGGCTACTTACGAAAGTGACAAAAATTATATCAAATTGACAATATTTTCATGTTACTTAATGTAACTGACATAATGATATAATGTTCATCATTATAAAACTGGTTTAAATGGGGTATAAAAGGTTAGACAGTTAGAAATGTCAAAGTTAAAAAGTATAAGTTGTCTATCAATTTGCAATGCCAGAGCTCTGATAGAGGTAATATAATAATAATAATAGATATAATAATTAGGACTGGCCTTTCTACAATTTTGCCCTTCAACGTAAAATACAAAAAAATTAAAGTTAATTAAACCTATCATTTTTCAGAATCAAGAAGCAACATCCAGCTTTCATTTTCTCTTAACAAAAATGGTAGTGATAAATTGTTCAAAAGCAAATTTTTCTTCAAATCAACAAGATGTGGAATATTGTATACTGGTATTTATTGGTGTTTACTTACCAAATTTTTGTTTTATAAACAACGTTTGATCTTCTGATAAAATCCAATCTATTTTAAATTGAGATTCATGTCCTTCAGAAATAGGCAGCCTGAAAAAATTACAAATACACTAATTTTGTATTGAAAAATTTGGTTTAAGCTTGGCTTATAATTTGATAGCCATCTCTTTCAGTCCAATGTCAATGAAGTATCAATTGATAATTTCACATGAGTCCAGAAAAATAAGCGCAGTGAAAGAAAGTTTAAAGCATTAAGCAGTAACAGGATGAATTTTAAGAAGCATGATTCACACAACATGAACTCCTCACACAAAAGAAAATGATGCATTTGGTTACAAATCTTAATTTCTGTTAATCATTTTACCTTTGTTTTGTACAGAAACTATAACAAGCAGGAAGACTTGGCAATTGTTTTGATAGTTCTTTGCGTAGCTGATTTAAGGTGTATTTCTTTTCTTTAGGTAACACAACCAGACCTAACTTTATGACTGATTTGCCACATTCTGATAATAAATTTACACCTATCAGCCAGGGTTCATCTTCATCTAAAATAAAGAAGATAAAATATTATTCAAATAAATATTATTTCCCTTAGGAAAAGAAAAACAGTTAATGCAGAAGGTAATAAATCTTTGAATCTTGGAATGTTAGAGATTTTTCCATCAATCACTGCAGGCTTGATTGTTCATATGACTCTAACAAGCTGACATCTATGACCATTCCTTTTTCATTATAGAGTGACTGGAGTAGAAGACACCTCCTTTAGGAAACAGCCCATTGACATGGCTAAAAATTAATGCATGAAAGAGACAATAATATTCATTTTTCCCACCTTCGTCAGCCATGCCAGCTGAGTCTGAAGTTAAATCCTGCCAGATCAGATTGCGAAATACTCTGCAATCTGGCAAAACTGCATATTACTCGCCTCTAACCCTACTTCCGCTATAAACTAATAAAAATAATTTCATTAATTTCATCGCCAAATCTTTATTTATCAGTAAGTAAATCAAATTTTAAATTCACTGATGATATTTTACTTAATACCTATAAGATTACTGCTTCTTAATAAATAGCGTAGGCTTCCAAATGCAACCAAATTGCCAATAATCATAATACTTTGCCTTCTACAGTAAATCTGTTCTTAGTATTTTTCATCTTTAATTTTTTAGGACTAGTTTTAAATTGTTCAATGAAAGGTGACAATTCCTCTTCACCATTTGATACTGTTTGTCAGGCAGATAATAACGACCCGAAATTTTTAAATGATTACCAGAATTCTACTACTAGGTACATGCTGTAGTTATTGCCTAGATCTTGTCAGATATGATAATTTTATTTTTCAAACATTGGTAGATTCTCTAAGTTAGGAATAAAATGGCCAATTGGCTGATCTAGAAGAAATTCTTGTTTTTCCATTGCAGGAGCTGGCTACCTATTTGGGAAACCAATATCTTAATGTAGCTGACACATATTTTGTTGAATTGATTGAGGCAGATATTGAAGACTTTTTGAAAACAGCCACTTCTAAAAGGTATCAGACAGAATGTTACCTTAATAAGCATACTGGTCTACCTAAGCTTTCACAGACATTAGCTTACACCTTGTGTACTAAAACTTAAAGCTTGTTCACTTCATTGATTTTATTACATGATAATGATTTAAGTCTGATTTGTAGGTAATGTTAGAGATTATTATTAGCAACAGATCATACTAACAGCTTCAAGAAAGTGGTGCTACCAGTTAGAAAGGTCATATGATATGCAGGAAGATAGAGAAATCATCTGCAGAAAGATAGCTCATCTGCAGATAGATTGATAGAGCATCTGCAGAAAGATAGACAGATATATAAGTAGATAGAGAGGTCATACAAATTATTTTTCAATATTTCAGAGTTCTAATCTTCCCACCATTTAATAGTTACCATAGATTACTGGTACATAAAGTGATAGAAGTATCTCCAGTCTTACATAGTTTTTCTATTGGAGAAGGGGACCAGAGACGTACTGTTGTTTGTTTACATCAAGCATTGTTAAGGTATTTTATTGATGTTTTTTACAAATACTTTAGAAGCCATTTTATTTTACTGTAATAGAAACTAATATTTTGACAAAGTAGAACATTTAGATTCCGTCATATTTTTGAATTTGTCATAAAAATTTTCATTTTACTGAAATGTCTTTTGTTTTTATATTATTAGATATTACAATATCTGTAGGGTCCATAATGCATCTAAATATTGAATAATTCCAGTGGAGAAGACAGAGGTGAATTAATGTCCTCTCCAATCCCTGAATTCTCTGATAAGAGTAAGGGGAGAGGGAGGGGCAGAAATCTTGAGAGGAACTCTCCTTCACCAGTTGGTAGAAGAGAGGAGAGTCAGTCATCAAGCCCTGGGGGTACTCCACGTGCAGATAGTGATGTAAAAGTCAGAAGTAGACCAGCTGGCAGGTAAAAATTATTATTTACTGCTTGAATATGGAAAAAATTATATTATATTATAATAAATATGAAATTATTTTAGCAGACTTTTCTGCCATAGAATATTTTGAAATTAACATTTTGATTCTTTCAAATTTGTTCAAGGTTGTAGGTAGTTAACTACTATTGTTTCTTTGTGAATCAATGCTGTTTCACTTAATTTTCCTAGACCTAGACCATTTGCATTGCTAATAATGAACATCTTGATCTGATTTTCAGAGGAAAAGCAAGACGTCCAGAAATTCAGAGATATGTACCTCGTGGACGAAGACAGCAGGGAGAAGACACAAATAGCCAGAGACAGAATGACACATCAGATAAAAAGAGTGATTCTCCAAAATCAAGGGAAACAAGAGACAAACCAGTAATAGGAGGTTATGAATCCCCAACAAATAGGAGGGATGAGACCCCTGAAAGCTGGGATAGGTTAGCTGATGATGACTTAATCGAAGACAAACCTGCTGTTGAACTTGTATCTGAATCTAATTTCTCTCCTGCCTCCAAGAAATCCAAAACAGATGCAGAGTCAGATCATTGCATTGAGTCTGCCAACTTGCAGAGTGAAAATTCAGTACCGCGTCAAACAGATGATCAGTCCGATGTTTTACCCTCTGCCTTACCTACAGTACTAGCTCACCCACAGTCTTCTTCAATACCTCAAAATAGCTCAGCTTCTGATGATTCAGCTACCAATGCAACACATATCCCATTGACTTCTATAGAACATGACCCACAAATGCCACCTCAGAATTCCAACGAACATAGTTCAGTTTCCAGTAATGTGCATTTGAACTCCCAACTTCAGGAAGTAAATGACGATAAAGCTAATTGTCAACAAATGGGTTCAGATAATCCCTGCACAGATAGGAATACCATTGTGGCAATAGACAATGAGAGCAGCGATCTGAATGAGGTTACAACAGTGATTGAAGATAATAAACAAAGTGATACTGCAATGGAAACTTCTTGTGACATGGATACATCTGAAAAACCAAACACTGAATCTGATATAACAGCAGTAGCAGAGTCTAATCTAGAAGATACTACTGAGATAACAGAAGTGGCAGATCCTATACCAGATGCTACATTTGAGAAGGACCAGCCTCCAATGTCTACTTCCCCTGCAAGAGCAGTTGCTACTGATATGGAGCTTTCTAACACCGCCATTATTGACAATGCAGATAGTGTTGAAACTAAGTCTGAAAGTACCACCATTGAATCAACAATAGTCCATCCAGCTCCTGAACATGAATCAAGTTTAGTTTTAGCTTCTGATGAAACTTCAAACATTTCTGAATCATGCCAAGATGTCAACTGTCCTGCTGAAACTCAAAAAGATTCTGAAACTGACAGTTCGAAGAAGACGAAGAAAAAGAAGGATAAGAGCAAGAAGAAGGGTGAAAAAAAGAGTAAAACAGATAATGATGATGAAACTGTTGATAAACCCAAAAAGAAGAAAAGCAAAGCTGATAAAACAAGGCAAATCTCCAAAAATGACAATGACAATGATATCAAAAATCTTGAAACAGGAAATGAGGTGAAAGGTCAACGAGTCTGTAATGATGAGGAAGGGGAAGAAAAGATGAAGACAGATAATGCAGATAATGATGATGAAGATGATTGGGATAAGATGTTTGATGATAATGGTGATTGTTTAGAGCCTACACTTATAGATGAGGTAAGATATGGCACTAATACATCTTCATGAGCTCTTGAATGCACTATTGGCTCAGTGATTGAGACCACTGCTCACTAAATCTGGTTTCCTACTGTCAGGGGGATGGCATTGAAAAAGCGTTCGTGTTGGCCAATAAATCAAGGCTCTGTGTGCTACAGGTTGTGCACATTATAGATATATTATAAACAGTTGGAAATCGAAAAAGAGTAGGTTGATGCCGCTGTCCTGGAAAAATTACCCTCATGGTGTTGCCAGTCTTCATTGGCCCAGTTAGGTGCAGAAGAGTAGGATGTAAAACGCCATTCATTTCATTTTATTTTTGGATACACTATTCGATTTTTAAATTTCTGACATTTTGTAAATCATTCCTGGCAATTTTACAAGAGGGACAAGAACAATATTCTCCTGATCGTTCTTGCTGTCTGAAACTCCATTCTTCCACTGTATAAAATGTAGAGCTCTTAACAATAGTACTTTAGATTATGTTTTGTGCTCCATGTAAGACGATCATTTAAACTGGGAATGAATTAAGATATTTTTGATTTTGTATTTTGTAGTTAACATCTCATGTTGGTCAGGTAGCAATAGATAAACCTAAGGTAGATTATTTAGCTTATCAACCAAAAGATGCTGATTTATCTTCTAGTGGTAAGTTATCACTTATTATATTTATCAAACATATTAGATTTTGAATTGTTCTAATATAAAGAGAAGTAAAGCTAACATAGATTGCAAATACATCTTCTCAAAAGTACATGTAAACATGAACATATCCAGTACAAATGCTTTGAAATATATAGATTATAATTGCTGAGGTGTTTACCATTACCGTCTTTGGAGTAAACCAATTACTTAAATTACCAAAAGTGCTAATAATGTTTTTTTATTCTAAAAAATAACTTTTGAAATCATTTTTGTTTTTTCAGCATATCACCATTTAATAGAAATTTATGATTTTCCAACAGAATTTGTAACAAGTGATTTACTCATGTCTTTTAAAGCTTACATGTAAGTAATAGAACTAGAAACAGTCTATCTTTCAGATGTTTGGAGTTTTATGGGAAACTATTTGGGCTCTGCTTGTATATTCTCATTTTCAAGGCTAAATTTTTTATAAATTTAAAAGAGAGGAGTCTATTTTAAAATTATATCAATAAAGTTTGATTGATATAGTTATATCACTTGCGACACAGTGAATAATATTAATAATATCTTTATTGCGACTTATATTAGGCAAGACCTATTTATGATTTTTCATGACAATTTGACACTAGTTGTAAATTACTTTCTCAAATATTGTTATTATAGGAACAAGGGATTTGATATTAAATGGGTGGATGATACACATGCTATTGGTGTATTCGCTAGTGCAGTTGCTGGTAGGTGTTCTAAATTTTCTATTTTCTCAGAAACTGGTTTGAAATATTTTATGACATTTGGAATGGAATATCGGTATTTTGTGGCTGTTTTGATGAATTACAAGTTAATAGTTTCTTATAGATAACCATGTGTTGTATGCCCTTAAAGATCTTATCTGAAAGAATAAACTTATCTTATTTTATTTGTGCAGAAGAAAAATGATTTCTATTTTTTATATAACATCCTGATTATTATATTTCAGCTCAGGATGCTGTAAAAATGATCCATCCATTATTTAAAGTTCGTCCAATAGAAATGGCTTCTAAACAATCCAAATTAAAAGCCAAGAGAACGGCAGGTTTGTTTTATTATATTATTATTAATATTTAAAACAACAGTATTAATTTTTTTCTCTTATTTCACCTGGATCAAGTTGTACAGTCATCTTAATATTTGCTTTATATAGCAAATAGGATGGATTTACACCTAAATTTCTTATTGAAGTCAATAAGATAAAAATAAGAATAGATTGCCAGGGTCTTCTTTTAACATCTCTCATTCTCAGGTTTATAACAAGTTCTTATTATTTATGATTATAGAATTTCTAATGCCATATAAAGAAAGACCAAAGACTACAGCAATGGCTGCTAGAAGACTGGTGTCTGGTGCTTTAGGTTTAACATCTAAAGTGTCTAAAGAAAAAAGTGACCAAGAGAGAAGTCAACTGAAAGAAGCCAAAGGTAAAAAGATTTATTACTCTTGCTCTTGAAGACCTATATTAAAAAGGTTAACCTCCATTAAAAAAATTTTCCTGTTAGGGAAAAACATGTGTCGGCAGATAGAAATATTTGTGTTTGCCAGGATAGTTGTAGATTTAAAATGTTTGGATTTTTTCCAATTCAATTCTCCTCTGTAAGTATATTAGATTATGTATCATATATTCATTTCAGAGAAAAGGAAGAATGAGAGGAAATTAAAACAGGATATCTGGGATGGAAGTGTAAGTAAATGTGCTATGGATAACAGTTGATGTTGATTAAAATAACTTGTACCTGCCTGACACTAAACAAGCTCAAGAGTTGAGAACTACCTGAAACTGCTTCAGATCTGTCAAGAAAACAGGGAAGTTGCTGATGGAATTGTTAAAAAATTGAAATGAAAGGACTGTTATTGTTCTGAAGAGCAGATATCAGTGATTATTTTATTTATTTCCGACATGACAGAAGATTGTAGATCTGCAGACACCAACGAAAAGATTCAGATGAATATTGACATGACACATATGATCATATATAAGAGGTGTAATAATAATTGCTCCTTGAGCCAGTGTAGAAAATGGTTTTCAATAATCCGACTCCTACAAAAGGAAGGAAAAGGTAACTCTCAGTTGTGTTTTTTTTACAATGAATAGTGTTCATTGGAAGGAGTCAGATTCCTTGCTTGGTAATCAGATAAGAGCTATACGTCTTGGTTAGGGTGAACTTAAAACAAAATAACAGTATGTTTACTTGAGCAAGAATCCATCTTATATTGTCTGATTAAATGGTTCTGATTTAAAAGATCAACTACAAAATGGGCAGTGTTTACCGATTGGTTATTCTTATCATAAATGCATTTACTTTATATGTTTTTTCTGTCCTAAATTCATATTTTTTTTGGCAACATTAACCACAACAAATTAGTGATTCTGCTATGTCTGTGTGTAATTTTATTTACAGTAAGTAACCTTGGAAAGTTTTTGTTTGTTTAAATGTAAATCCTTCACATTTTTGACTAAAATATATCTTGTCATTTGTACATTTAAAAGATGAATTTCATTGTTTTTGATTGTTTGAGTATATTTTTGTATCATATTCAGATTGCTTGCATTTTCTTTTTTCAAATTTTGAATGAAATTTGATTGCCAAACTTTTGTTTGTCGTAATTGTTATATTTATAAAAGAAAAGTTGAATGAATTATCATTTTTTTTATGCATATGAACTTATTTCTATTGATTCAATTATCCCATGTTTATTCATCTTCATAATTGTCAGGAGTTTGTTTTACCATGACCGTGTTGAAGATGATGTATATTGTACATGATATGATAAAAACTTTTCAGGTTTCTTCTTGCATGTTGATTGATACAGTTTTGTCTGGTTTTTAAAAAAATATTGTAACCCTTCTAAAGCTCATCTTGTCTAAATGGACTGCCAAAGAATAATAAAATTATTTTATGTGTATTTTGTGTAAAAGAATGAAATGCTTCGTGTTGTAAATTTGTAGATAATAAATTATACTAAATATGTGGTTTCCAGTTTACTCGAAGAAGCATGTTGTCAAAAACAAGCTCTATTACTAATGAATATGATATTGATGTACAGAAACATCTATCAAGGTTCTTCAAAACATTATTTCTTCATCATGGCATTTTTATATTAGAGGCATTTGATTTTAGATAATCCACCTAGGTTTGTTGGAAGTTATTTAAGTCATTTAGAATATTATTTAAGAATAGTCCTTGAAATCCATTGAATATTGACCATGAAGAGTCACTATTTTCCATATTTTGACCAATTGAGACCAATGAAAAACTTGATATTATGCAGATTACTCAGTTGGGGATAAGATAAATGATCTATCACCATAATATTAAACACTTTCATCTTAAAATTTATTATTTCATACATTCTATACAAGAAAAGAAACCAGTAGAGTACAGTAACATTTCTAGTACTCACAAGAATAAAATAAACAATGTTCTGGGGAGGTTTTGCAACAGATTATGATGTATCTTGATGCCCTTCTATTGAAGCATGGCATCAATAATTTATAAACATGTACTCCATTTGATGTGTCAACTTCACAGTTTCAATTTCCACTTTATTTCTTTTCAATGGAGAGTGAACTAGTCACATATGTTTTAAAACAGAAATAGTTTTGCTTTTCCACAGCAGATATTGAATAGAATTAATAAGAATGGGATTATCAAACTTTTGCATTTAATAACTGAATAGGCACTGACATTTTCTGTTGCAAAACCCCCTTTCTACTAATATGAGATTGCTTTTATCATAATTTAATTCAATTTCATTTATTTCATCAGAAATGTAAGTATTCTACAAACACAAATAAAAATTTACATTAAAAAAAAACTTAAACCGTAAGTTTTGAATTTTTTAAATACTAAATTCATGATCTTGACAAAAATCACAACCACTCAACCGGGCAAAAAAAAAAAAAGTACACAGCAAATATAAAGATAGCACTTAACTAATGCAATGTACCTACTACATAGACAGTCACTGTTCATGTCTATAGCATGAAAATATGTTTCTCACTTCAAACAATGTATAGTCAAGCCTATATATTTGTGCATGTCAAGGTCAGATTCAAACCATTAACACAAAAACTGCACCTCCCTTTTGGGTAGAATTCATGATATATAGAAGAGATCGGCTATGATGTCATAGAAGTGGTTTGTGTATCACATGATGCACAACTTAACAGTGGTTTCTCCTACTCAATTCATGCATGTGTTCTTTTTTAGCATATCATGGCTAAGGTGAATTCTACTATTGAAACTTATAGCGACTACATTTGCTTGACAATGCAAGCTTATTTATCTAGAGAAAAATGACAGGGTAATCAGACTTCAGACATGATTTTTTTTTTTACTCAATAAAATCGTTTTCCTATTGAATCTAAATCAGGGCTGTTGACTTTACTAGTTTCACAATATGCTATCTAACTTTTAAAAGGAATAAACCAAGTCAAAACAGCCTTTCAAAAAAATAATTGTTTATTTTCTGTAGTCAACTAATGGCAATGACTTTCTGGCACAAGAAATAAAACAGGAAAACTAATATCATTTAAGTAAACAATAACAAAACTTAACAAAATTTAACATCAACCAAAAACTACAGATAAACTAACTAACAAAATACTTTTACATAAAGCTGAATACACTTGATTTTAATATCAAACAACAAATTTTGTTAAACCATGGACATGCAATATAGATTTTATCATTAGCATTGGGGTCTGACTTGAGACCCTACTGTTCACAGTGCTTTTTAAGAATTAGCACTTACCTAGCACGATATCAATAAGTATTTGGCATTATTTGGACAAATTGATGATTCCATGCAACTTGCTGCAGGTTAGATACCAATGTTTAAATCAAGTGTAGAGACTTTTGAAAAATATATTGATTTTGTTTGCTTAATTCTATTCTTAACAGAACGCAAAAAAAGAAGATAACTTAGTCTAGAAATATATAATAGCAAGATAAAATGAAGACGAAAGTCGTTATTCTTTATCTAAGATTTTTTGGGCAAAAACATTGTTATATATTTTAAGCAACATTCCTAATAGTTATACCTAAAAGCAATATAATAGTGTCATATAATGAAACTGGACAGTTAAATCATAATGATATGTTCTTAATAAGTAGAGATAGAATTTAGGGCTACAGTCCTATTGTTAATGTTCCACAGCTCTTTCAAATTGTACTTTTCAAATCAATAAAATTTTCTTATATCTTAATTACTTGATCACCAACAACCTGATTTTAATATGGTTCTGTATCCCTTTTATGGTTAAATATCAAACACCATGATAAGTACAGTGCAAATAATGCTAGACTATATTTTCTTTCAATTATAGAGTATCTTGAACAAGGGGGGTAAGGATTTTTTTGTCAATCTTTCATTTTAAAATTCAAATACAAGTTTTTTATGTTTCAATTACCGTAACAGTTTTCAAATCTAATTCTTGTTGACAACCCTAGTTATTGAAGCAAAAGCTAGGCTTTAAAATTTCAACATTGACATCTAAAAGGGAAGCAGCCCATTCTTAATTGCAATAACATAATTTATCACATCCACCAGTTTGTTCAAAAATCTGCATATAGAAAATAATAATAATAATCTTCTTAGGTTCAATAGCTACCACTTATGGCATTTTAATATCCTTCAAAACAACCAATCACACAAAAATTTACCATCAAGCATCAAGATTTGTTCACCAAATCATCAATTTTGGCTGAATTAGTTGCGATTGTAAAGAGAGTTGAAGTCTACTTATACCAAGGATAATATAATATAGTCTTTCAGATCAATAATAAAACACAAACCAAACATCACACAATATCTCAGCATTAGTCACTAGTTAATAAATACTATTTGTTTTTTTGGGGGATATTCATCTGGGTGTATATATTTTTTATTCTGCAATGGAAATAAACAGAGTCAAAAATATAGTACATTTCATTACCACAGTAAATGGCTTTAACTATAACAAACAAGTTCTTATGAAACCAACATTTGCATCTCTTCAAAAAATAAGAAAATAATGAAAGGAAAGTATGTAAAGGAGCATTAAGTCTCATGCTGCTCCTGATAGTACTAATTGAATCCAATTGATGAAAAACACTGAGCAATGAGGTAATTTTGCCAAGGAAATGGCATTAATATTCTTCAAATGTAGGTTTTTTTCAGCCAGTTATTCATGGGATGTCAGTTTATTGTCCCTTTGAAAAAAATTAACAATATTGCTAAACCCGGCTTTTCCAGCAATAGACCTCAAGACAAACCAGATGAGGTGCTTATGATATAGGTACCAACTACATGCTTTATATACATGTAAAATAGAAGTATATAAGAAACTTACTTTTTATATGTATTTAAATAACTTGTTGCCATGGTTTTTTATCTAAACCTTTATGATCATTTATATGTTTATATCTACATTTTTCACCATATATACACCCAGTTGTTCTCCAAAAATAACACTCATCACCATTTACTGGCCCGCTTTGTTTTGGAAGATTTCGCACTCTGTAAATAGATAGATAAATTGATATTCAACTTATTCCCTATTGTATAAGAAATAATTACCAAAAATTAAGTTTTTCCTTGATCTATTTTGCATATGATGCTTATTTTCAACACCTCTTAAAATTGGTTGAAAGGAGTTTGCTTCTGTAATAGTCTTTTTTTCAAAACAATCTGTCAATTCTACTAATGACAATCAGTTATGATGTCTAGATTAAACCAATAGTGAATTATGACCATTACTAATACTAGACATGAAACACAAAAGTCAGTCAGATTTTGCTTTGAGCAGTAAATTTGTCATTCACTAATAATGATTATCGGATTAATTTGAAATTATTCATTATTTTTCCACAAACAATTAACATAAATAACACACCAGAGAATACGCATCTGAGAATCATTCAAGCAATCAAAGGTAACAAACTAACTCTAAAATCTTAGAGCTGCTATAAGAAAGATTTCTTATGACAAAAGCTCTGAATAGATTATTCAAATAAATATCTAATACAAATCATTTTAACATCATGTTAGTTCTAGGGACATGGGATTAATATAATAACACGTCTACTCAATTACAACATCAATAAAGAAATTTTTGTGTCCAAAAATGAGTTTTGCACATTTTTCACATCTATAAACTATTCGAAACATAAACAGTCTTTTTATCTTATGGCAGTTTAATTGATAATGAACATACTATAGTGTTCATTACAATTGAGTTAACATCCAAAAATTGAAAGTAGATTACTATGGTTTATAATTGTCAAGTTGTGCATCACTATATCGTTTTTGGACTATAACAGTTCACAATAACATGCACTCAACCATACATAACAGCTAAATACATCAACATAGTAAACAACATACAGGTAACAGCATCAAGAAAATGATAATCAAACTTCTATATAATCAAACACATATTGGGTACATCTTTTCTTTTAGTAAACAAACCACTGACCCTATTTCATTAATGACATGACTTATTTTACACCTTGAGGGGATTTGTCCAATTTCAATCACATTGACAGGTGTAAGCTTAAGAAAAGACACCAAGAGACAGGAGGAAAGGGGAATATAAAGCTAATAAGGATATCATTCCAACAACAAACAAGCTACATTTATTATTCAGTATCCCACCCAAATCAAGAGAGTTTAATTTGATTTAAGAGAGCTCATCGAGACGAGCTAACAAAGAACCCCACCCAACACCCACGAGAAGTGTCAAGGATCTTGATATCTGATATCCATCACCCATCAATAAGACAACAGACCTAACAAGAAAGGAGATTTAAAAATAGAGCTTGTGTAACATACATACCATCTCCTCTGCTCTACGGTAGCGAGCGCGGCTGTTAATATAAAGGCAATGGTCAAGTCAGTAACGTCAGTCAGAAAAGGGGAAGTAATAGATCAGAAAGGGATCTCTGCAGACAAGCTCAGATTCAGAAGATCATTTCACAAGGGG